AGGAAACTCACAAGAAAGAACACAAAAATCATGAATTCAACAAAGAAAGACAAACAGAACAAAAAAGCAGCAGCACCACAAAAAAACAAATGTAATGACAGCAATTAATCAATACCTATCAATAATTACACTGAACGTAATTGGATTAAATGCACCTATTAAGAGACAGAGGGTGACAGAATGGATAAGAAAACAAGATCTTTCAATATGCTGTCTGCAAGAGACACATCTCACACACAGAGACAAGAACAGATTAAAAGTCAAACGATGGGAAAAAATATACGAAGCTAATTGCAATAAAAAGCGAGCAGGAGTGGCAGTACTAATCTCAGATAAAATAAACTTTAAGGCAAAAACCAGCATAATAGACAAAGATGGGCATTATATCATGATTAAAGGAACAATTGAACAAGACAAATAACCATATTAAATATCTATGCTCCCAATGAAAGAGTGTCAAAATATATAAAACAAACTCTAATAGATTTGAAGAAAGAAATAGATGAATCCACAATAATAGTGGGTGATTTTAATATACCACTCTCAAAAATGGATAGAACAACCAGAAAGGAGCTTGACAAAGATACAGAAAAACTAAACAACACAATCAGCCAACTGGACCTCATAGATGTGTACAGAGCATTCAACCCAAAACTGCAAAATACACATTCTTTTCGAGTGCACATGGAACATTCTCTAGAATAGACAATGTTTTACGCCACAAAACAAATCCACTTGACTGCTTTTTTGAATCTTGGTTTCCCTTGCATTATAATATAGAGTAGACACTGGAGGGGGAGAGAAAGGAATAGACAGAAACATCACACTAGAAGTCTTGTAAGTCCATCTTCTGCCTTTAACTGATTGGAATACCTAAAACGGGGCTACAGTGTACCCAGTGAACGAGGCTTTCTGCGGAGCCTTTGCAATACATAAAACTATAGGTAGAAACCAGAACCACATCCAGATCACCTGAGATGAGAAATCCCCACTTGAAGGGACAAGCTGACGAGCCTGGAATGGTGAGAAGAACAAAAGAGACGTCTCGAATGGAAGACCTACAGGAAAAACACAACACAATGGAGACAGATGGACTGTTACTATGGGAACAAACGGGTCGCTCCCGTAGGAGACATTGGGGCAGTCAGTCGGGTCCCACCAACGTAGGCCCCCACCACCACCAAAAACTGAGACTCAGTGGAAACGCACGTTCTGATTGGTAAACACACACATCACTGTTGGGGAGAAATGGGGTAAAGGCTGCAATGAAGCAGCAAGCTAAGCCTCACAATATTCAGAGGGCTTCTGTGGACCCGGTTGGGGACCTGGTTGGCAAGCAGTGCGAGGAGACCCGAGGAATCATGGGCCCACAGTCAGTGACGTGGTCACGGAGGACTCGAGTGGAGAATAGAGCTGCCGGCTGATGGGAAGAGAGGACATGTGCACAAGAACACCCCCACTTGCAGATGACACCCATGTGACCAGGACTGGATGACTGGATGATCAGAGCTCAACCAGGAGAAGAAGGGGGTGGGGGAGGGAAAGAAGATTGAGCTGATCCAAGCTGATGAACTTGACCTATGCATACGAATGCAGTGACACAAAAGAGGCAACAAATCCTTACAGCAAGAAACATTCCCACCCCCTCCACACACAGAGTAGACAGAGAGGGGCAACTTGGACATTGGATACCCAAATGGAGAGGGAGGGACTACAAAGGCAAGAAGTAACTGGCTTACAAGCTTTCAAGAGGGAACCTAGAGCTAGGGGGCATGGAGGAAGGCAGAATTACCAGTGAGTACTATCCAATTTGTCTAGGTGGAGCTGATGAAATGAAATACAGATGGGTTACGTGTGATACTGTAGTGAATAATGGTTATCAAAATGGATTGTGAGTGTTGGAACTGCAAGGGTAGATGTTTTGTAGCAAGGAAGAGAGCGATTATTTCTCCAGTCTAGGAGCGGAGGTCTCTGGGACCACCAAAGGATAAGAGCCGAGAACGGGACCCCACCCAGAGAACCGGGGATGCCTGAGATGGAGACAGAGATGATGACATGGAGGGATGAAGCGGCTGGGGACTTTGAATTCAGAAAGGGAGAGGAACTGTGGGCCGAAGACTGAGGGGGAGGGGGGAGTGTAGAGCAGTGGCTTCTAGGATATGCCCTTTGGTTGGAAGACAATGCATGGAGGGGATTGGAACCATGGCAATGTAATGATATACGATGGAATGAATATGGAATTGAGGTTCTCTCATGTAAACTATCATATAATTCACAATAAAACATTAAAAAAAAAAAAAAGAAGAAGAAGCATGGTGGATTTTACTCAATAAACAAGTTAAGCATGGATTTACTTCTGCTTACTTACTAATCTGTAGTGAACAGTTCACATGGATTTCACCAGATCTTTGGGATAAAAAGCACATCAAATTGCTCACTACAGAGTAGTAAATAAGCATAAGTAAGCCCTTGCTTGCCTTTCTTACTAAGTAGTCCATCCCTATCAGGGATTGTGCATTCTGTAGGAAGGTGCTGCAGTGGTGGGAAAGACCTAGGTTGGGAAAGCCAGCCAGACCTAGAAGCATAATCTTCAGCATGCTAGAAAACTGTGAAATTGTTCATGACAGATTAGTAAGTAAGCACAAGTAAATGTGTGCTTGCCTTGCTTATTGAGTAATCTAACACTGATAATATTAGGATACATTTTATTGATTGCATATTACATGGTAAGTAAAGTAATAAAGACATTAATATGAAACTGAGAATGAGTTGTTGATTTCTGGTTTTCTTAAGGAGCTCTGATAGTATAGTGGTTACTATCAGGCTGCAAAACTTAAGGTCAGCAGTTCAAAACTACCAGCTGTTCTGTGGGAAAAAGATGAGGCTTTCTGATCCTGTAAAGATTTACAGCTTTGGAAACCCTGTACCCGAGCCTCTTTGAGTTGGAACCAACTCCATGGCACATCACGACCATGAATATGACGATTTGAGTCCTGGTTAATGCGTTGGACTGCAAAGTCTGTTTGAACTGCAAGGTCAGTGATTCAAGCTCCCAAGCGACTCTGAAGAAACTCCACACAGGGTCACTTAACAACAACAAATTGGTAAAAAGAAAATATACTGCCTAGGTTACATAATTCTTTCTGTAACAAATGGATCTGGAGAAGCATTTATTTTTCCTAAAAAAGATAGAACAGAAAAAAAACTAAGAAAAAAGGCACAAATCATCATGACCAGTTTTGGTTTTTCAATGTTATTGTTGTTAATTGTTACTGAGTCAGTTCTGACTCATAACGGCCCTGTATAGGGTTTCCAACGAGAAACTGGTGAGTTTGAACTGCCAACCTTATAGTTCACAGTCAGTACTGATTCTACAATACCACACCGTTAAATCTATACATTATTGAGCTAAATGATTCTCAGACCTTTCATATTTGTTTTTTCCACTAAGGAAACTTGATAAAAAATGAAAAGCTTACATAAACACTAGACTATTTTTATGCATGTAAATGTTGTGTTTTACACAGAGAATGCCCTAAGGGTAACTTATTTCTGTGTAGAGAAAACATCGAATTATCAAATATTTGAAACTTAGCCCAAATGCTTAAATTTTTAAGAATAATTATAGCACGCTGCCTTACAGTACTGTAATGCTTTTTGGGAAAAGTTTGTTTGACTTCATATGTTGTTGATGTTAAGTGCTATCGAGTCAGTTTCCAACTCATAGCACCCTGTATAGGGTTTCCGAGGAGCAGCTGGTGAGCTTGAACCACTGACATTGTATTTCAAATTGACCTTAATATAGGTATTTAATCATTTATTCACTAAACTTGGTCTGAAAGACTCTATGTAAGTGGGTCTAGATGAATATATTCATTTCAGCTTAACATTTGCTGTATGAGATTTTCTTACAGAGGAGAATTAATCATAAATGTCTTACTTTCTCTCTAGTTTTATAAGACAGCTAAAGATTGGTGGCTATTCAGTTTCTATTTTTGCTTGCCATTGGCCATTACTGCATTTTTTTATACCCTGATGACCTGTGAAATGCTGAGAAAGAAGAGTGGCATGCAAATTGCTTTAAATGATCACTTAAAGCAGGTAAGAAAACAAACGTATTTGTTGACATGATTATAGTTATTATTATGAGTATGAAAGTAATTATGATAATATACTAAATTTTTTACAAACCAGAGAATAATAATTCCTTTTTCTTTCTTCTGGTATCTTTCAATATAGAAAGTATATCATTTATATTATCAGTTTAGAAATATTTTATGTAATCTAAAAGGATCTAGATAAAATCATTACTTTTAGAAATAATCTCTAGTCATTTTACTTCTAATTTGCAGTAGTTATTCTATTTAAAGTTTAGTGTTCTGAATCTTTACAAATGCCACTGATCTTTTAGGCAACATATCATGTATTGTGTTTTGGAAGAAAAAACACTGTGATTTTAAGGAGTCTGACTGTGGTTTTATTTCAGAGACGGGAAGTGGCCAAAACAGTCTTTTGCCTGGTCCTGGTCTTTGCCCTGTGTTGGCTTCCCCTTCATCTCAGCAGGATTTTGAAACACACTCTTTATGATCAGAATGACCCCAATAGATGTGAGCTTTTGAGGTAAGAGGGTAAAATAAAAATTGTTTTGTAAATAAAATGCAATTCATAATTGCTTCCATTCATCCCATTCATAGGCACAAAGCGATTAACACTGTGGTTCTACAGGATAAGCACTGGGCTGCTAACTGCAAGGTCAGTGGTTCAAACCCACCAGCTGCTCCTTTAAAATCCAATACAGTGTCGCTATGAGTTGGAACTGACTCGGTGGCATTTAACAACAACCATTCAAAAAAAAAAAATCATCTGGTGGACTCAGTGACATCTAGTGGACTCAGTGACAACTCACAGTGACCCCATGTGTGTCAGAGTAGAACTGCACTCCATTGGGTTTCCAATGGCTGATTTTTTATAAGTAGATAGCTAGGCATTTCTTCTGAGGTGCCTCTGGGTGGGCTAGAACTTCTAATTCTTCATTTAGCAGCTAAGCACATTAATCATTTACATCACCTAGGGACTCCCTCTAATCCTTTGTGGTTGTCATTATTAAGAACCATCAAGTCAGCTCTGATTCATAGTGACCCTGTATAGGTTTCCGAGGAGCAGCTGGTGGGTTTGAATTGGCAACTTTGGGGTTCACAGTCAAGTGCTGAACCTACAGAACCACACCAGGGAACTATTTAGGTCACTCTTATTCTAGAGGGAGACACAAATGGGGACTCAAGAGAACACTGGAAATGGTCAGGCAGAATTCTCAAAATGATGAGTGAGTGATGTTTGAAAATAGCAGTTTGAAATTTGCACGGTGTAAGTCCTTTATGCATACAAATGAGATTTTATTTCGAAAGGGAGAGTTAGGTGTGTGTTCAATGAAGATGGCGGGCAGAGAAAGAGAGGAAAAGAAAGAATGAGAGAAACAATGAAGCATATCATTATCTGAAAAAAAAAATCAGTGAGATTTTTATGTGGATAAGTTGTTTTTCTTCACAAAAACACAAATGTCTCTAATGAATGCATGCTCAGACACATTTTGGGTTATTTTTTCTAGCTTTTTGTTAGTGTTGGACTACATCGGCATCAACATGGCTTCCCTGAATTCCTGTATTAATCCAATAGCTCTGTACTTGGTGAGCAAAAGATTCAAAAACTGCTTTAAGGTAAGAAAGTGAAAGCTTTATTAATCTGACATCAAAGATTAAAAAAAAGTTATAAAGCTCTTTAAATCTGGCATCAAGTCCATTAACATTTCTACCCAGAGAGATCTAGTAAATCATTTTATAATTGTCCCATTTCTAATTATATCATGGATGATTTTTTATTTACTTACAAACCACGATGTGAGTTTTGACTTGTGGCTCATCGCCAACCATTTCCTATTGCCTCAACTATTCAATCATACTCATGAAATTATTCAATTTTCACTCATTACCATTCACTTATTGCTCAGAAAATTAATAAAAATTGCATTCATAGATGTCTAACAACAAAATAGTAGCTAAATATAGAGTAAGTATTCTCTTCACCAGTCTTTTAGTTTGGCTTACACCATCACAACCAATCTGGGTTATAAACAGATGACTCCATTTTTTTCATGAATTAGGAAAACAGTAAATCAAATATAGAAATATAATTAAGCTTTTCCCTCCACTTTTCTATCTTCTTGGTAAACCAGAAATGTGCTGAACAATATGAAATGTGTATAGTTATTCCTCAGACATTTCATTTGCATCCTAGTAGCCGTCTGTCCGTTCATTCACTCCTTCAACAATCTAACATAACATAAAATGTTCCCTCTTTTATATGAAAATAATCCATTCTTCCCTGGTATTTTATCATTGGAAAACTAAGACTTTATTTAGGTTCACTGTAAAATCTAAGGCAGTTTATAAAATTCTCATTCATCAATGATTTATTTTAAAGCTGGAAAATCATAAACTCATCGACTTGAATTCTAAACAAGAATGTGCATTAAGATCTACTCGGTTATTTGATAGAACAGGAAACAGTGGACCAGGCATCATCTCAAACATAGCTTCTAAGTAAACAGAATGAAAAATGTTCTTGGATTAAAAATTAAAATCCGAGAAAAAAAAAAAAAAGAAAGAATCAAATTGAGATACTGGTATACTCAGTAAATAAACAGAATGAAAACAATTTTGCCAAAAACAAAATCTGGAAGAATAAAATCAAGATACTTGCATACTTCAAAATCTTTTTTTTTTACAACAAAATGGAAATGGCACAGAATTTTCTGTGGGTAATAAAATATAGCAATGAAACACTAAATTTACAGGCCTGGAAAGGTATTTACAACACTATTAACTGAAAAAAAAAAAAATTAGACTATGGTGAACTCAGTATGCTATAATCTCATTGCAGCTGAATAAATTATACACCCATTCACAAGCACATGCGCACATGAAGTCATATAAGTGTATACAAATTTGTGGTAGCATTGATTTTTTTCCTGTTGTATAGAAAACATCTTTAAGTATCTGTTAGCTGAAGTATTGAGGGTAGCTTTCTCTTGATGAGGAATTTTAAGTCTATCTTTTTTTCTTCTCTGTTTTTTAGTGTCACATGATTCTGTCGTATACGTACTTTGTATATACTTCTAGAATCATATACTACCTGTGTAATTGCATAGTTATATGTGTTTTAAGGATTAAAAATAAGAGAATATGGAAAGAAAGAGGTGAAAGCATTTGCACAGAGGTATTGACAGGGAGCTCCTTAAAGAGTCTGCGGGGATGTGACAAGTGAACTGTGTGACTTTGTTTCCTACAGTCATGCTTATGCTGCTGGTGCCAGACATTTGAAGAAAAACAGTCCTTGGAGGAAAAACAGTCCTGCTTAAAGTTCAAAGCTAATGACCATGGATATGACAACTTCCGTTCCAGTAATAAATATAGCTCATCTTGAAAGGAGGAATAGTCACTTAATTTCTTTTTGGTTTTTAAATTTTGGACAGAAGTCATTAAGAAACAATGAGGCATTTGCAAAAACAACAACAAAAAACTGTGTGTATGAAAATGTAAGAAAAGTATGAAAACGTATAGTAATTATTAACATTCATGGCATTTTATGAGCTGTTTGCAGTATGAAAAGAAAAGTAGAAGACTGCCTCATTGTTAAAGCACTTAATTTGATACTTAGCACTTCAACCTAGCTCTTAATAACTTCCAGTATACTTCTATACCATTGGTATTTAAAATGACTTCACTCAGAATTCTTATTGTGGTTGTTAAGTGTTGAGTTCATTTTCACTTATGGCGATCCCATATGGCAGAGTAGAACTGCCCTATAGAGTTGTCCTGGCTGTAATCTTTATGGAAGCAAGTCATCTTGTCTTTCTTCTGAAAATCCACTGGGTGGGTTTGGACCAACAACCATTTGGCTACCAGTCAAGAGCTTAATTGTTTGTCCCAGTAGGGCTCCTCTGAATTTATATTATACTATAGTGGTGTTGATTTTGACTCCTTGTAACCCTGTGGGACACAGTAGAATTCCTCAGAGGGTTTCCAAGGCTGTACATCTTTATGAAAGCAGACGGCCACTTGTTTCTTTTTCAGAAAGGCTGGTGGGTTCTAACCACAAACATTTTGTTTGGCAGCTGAGCTCTTTAACCACTGCACCACCACAGTCACAGAATTCTTATTTGAGAGATATGTTTTTAAATTGCCATCAGTCTGATACTACAGAAAAATGCATAACTGTAAAACAGAATTTTTTAAAAGCAAGTTTAAATGACTCAATTTGATTTTTAAAATTCCTTGAAACAAACTTTGTATTCATTGTTGTTTAGTATTTCTGACTCATAGCGCCCCTTGTATAGGTTTTCTGAGGAGCAGCTAATGGGTTTGAACTGCTGACCTTGTGATTCAAACCAACCTTGCAGTCCAGTACTTATCAGATAGCACCACACCAGGACTCCTTTTATTAATTAGTGTCACATAATGTATCAAACTATGATTGGATACAGAATGTGAAAATAGCTTAGCTGTTGTATTGTCTGGACACTAGAAACATCCTATATGATCTAGATGGGGTATCAGGAAGTGAGGTCTCGACTGGTTTTGAAAATCATTAAACTCTTTACATTCAAACCAAATGGCCCAAAGGGAAAGAGAAAGACAGTTTGGAATGCTATCCAGAAAGATGTTTTTGAAATCTTCCACTCACATACTCTACAAAGAAAATATCTACATACTCCACAAAGAAAATGTTTGCAGGTTTATTAAAAACTTCTTCTTTCAATTGTAGTCTCAACTGTATTTGCTTAGTTTGTTCTTTTTTTTTTTTTTAATCTGTAAATACTTCGTTACATACAATACATGTAGATGAGTAAACTAAGGGCAGGCCCCATGTTCAGAACTTTACAAAGGAGAGATGCCGGTAACCTCAGAATGGACAGAATGTGAATTGCCTGGAGCAATATCCACATGGCAAAGGAGCTGGGAGCATCCTCTCTCACCAGTGCTATAGTTAGAATTGTCTTTGGCATGTGTATAATATATTGTAGTTAAAATACTGTTTTTGAAGCTCTCACATTAGCCAATTAACAGCTACCATAAAGCTTATTTAACCAAATAAAAAATAAACCAATTGCTGTGTAGTTAATCCCTACTCCTAATAACCCTATGAGACAGGAAAACTGCCCCATAAGATTTCCAAGGCTGTAAATCTTTATGGAAGCGACTGCCACACCTTTTTCCCATGGAGTGGCTGGTGGATTCAAATGACTGATCTTTAGGCTTAGCAGTCAACCACTTAATAATTGTACCACCAGGATGCATTTGTAAAGCTTATTACTAATTTTTATATTACAATTTTTATATTATCTTTGTACATAACCATTAGAAAAGAGTTCTTAACCTGGTGCTTTTCTGTCACATAGAAGCCAAGCTGCTTTCAGAAGCTGTAAGAATTTCTTACTTTACACATTCTTGTCTACTTCTTTAATCTCCCTGCAAAAGTGCCTTAGGTTGGGATGCATGTGAAAACAGAAGAGAGAGGAAATGAGGTGGGGTGGGAGGAAGCCCATGGGACAGATTCCCATTCTTAGCCTGACATTCGTCATTACTCTGTCACATCAATGCAAAAGGTCCTGATTCTGTTCCAGCAAAACACACAGCAATGTTCTCAGAGTGACTTTGAGAGCAAATTAAGCCCAAGAGCTTTAACTCAGTCTTAAAATACAACAGAGTTTAAATCTCTCTATATATATTTCTCTTAGTAACCTGGGCCACATGTTTTCTGCCAGCATCTAGCGTGATAAACCAAAATCTAACAATGTGGCTGGTAAGAAATGACAATCATTAATTTACATGCCACATAGACTCACAAGTCAGTCACAGTCCTGTCTATTAATTTTCTCCCATCAAATACCTATCATCAAAAAAGATACTTCAGACTTTGGACTTTAAATTATAAATTGGGTCTTTAATGTACCCATTTTTTGTTAATATGTATTCTTATTCACTTATAGTCTAAACTCATCTTTGTTACCATGTGCTGTGTTTTGGCTCTTCCTCCTTATTTCCATCCATCTACCCTATCCTTCTCCATGTAAGAATCATGACCTGTGCTCAACTTGCCAAATCTGACAACTGTACACAAAGAATATCCATGTCCTGTTTGTGATGAGATTGTGCACAGGAGCTTTTTTTTAAAGGTATTTGATTCAAAATTTCAACAGACTGATAAGAAACAAATATGACTTCTTGGCTTAGTTAAAACCAGATAGAAAAAGGTGATACTGTTTAACTTTAAACACTTTTTTCCTAGTATTAAAAGCTGCTTAATATAGCAATAGACAAAAATAATGTTAAAACTGATATTAAGGCTCTAGAGAGTTATAAGTGAATTTAGCTTATTTTCTCCTTTATATGATGCAAATCTGTCAGTATGTTCAGGTTTTAAGAATTGACAGCTTAAATGTGGCCAAATGAATCGTTTGTTGCAGAATAGGAGTATGCTATAGCTAACTATATAAAATTGTAATATAACCATGTAAAATAATTATATATGTTGTTTTTCACTTAAAGTGGCAACCTCCATAGCTGTTAATTCCTTACTACGTAAACAAACCCAATAAAAATTAAAATTGTTTTAAAAAAAGAGTCCAGATTATTTTCACCACACAAGCAATAGTTAATTAAATATTAACTGATGAAATGTTTAAAAGTAATATGAATGATGCAAGTGGACTTTATTTATTTTGAGCATACAATTAATTATCAAAAAAATATGAAAGTGCTTTAAAATTAACATGCCCAGCTCTGTTTCTCTAAGCTGTGTTTTTGTTGCTATATTTTATTATTGTAGAACCAGATACACATACAGACATTCAATGCCCCTAGGTTTATTACCTGGCTGATAGTTTACAGTGGCCCCTCACATCACTCATTTTCTGGTTGCCTAGTGTCACTATTTAATCATCATGTGTCCCAGGTACAAGGTTAAAAGTTGGAGGGAATGAGGTTCTGCAATAACTAATTTCACTCCACAACCATTCGAATGTTTATGAATGGTGGGATGAAATTAACAAACTAAAGGGTCCCTAGGAGATCTGATGGCACTGTAGGATAAGTACTGGACTGCTAACTGCAAGGTTAGAAGTTCAAATCCCCAAGTCTCTCCCCTGGAAAAGATGAGGGTTTCTGTTCCCCTAACCATTTACAGGCTTGGAAACCCTTTATAACATCTCTATGAGTTGGAATGACTCTGTGACAGTAAGTGAGTGAGTTTAGGGTCCCTACTCAATAGGAGACTAAGATGATAAACTTCATTATATAGATATTAAAAAAACTAAATTACTGAATAACTACATGCTGACTACTGTAGAAATTTATGTATCTGTGTCTATTAGCACATGGTCCTATTCTTCACTTGCTAACAATAATCAACAGCTGCCTATATTCCTTTTCCTACCTAATTATGTCAAACATGGTCTAGTATTCCAGAGAATTCTATCATTTCTAACTGACCTTTCCTGGATCTCAGCTGCCTAACTTCATAAGATAATCACTGGACCGCAAACGACAAGGTAGGCAGTTCTAGCTCAGCAGCGGTTTCTCAGGAGAAAGATGAGATTTTTCTGCTTCAGCAATAGTCTAATAAAAAACAAAAATCTTATACAGGGTTGTTATGATTCAAAACTGACTTAATGACATTTAACAACAATAGTAAAATCGATAAATGAAAAACAAATCCACTGTCATTGAGTTAATTCTGACTCATAGTGTCCCTGTATAGGGTTCTGAGACTGTAAATCTTGACAACAGAAGAAAGCTTCACCTTTCTCCCACCGAGGGGCTAGTGGGTTTGAACTACTAATCTGAGGGGTTAGCAGGCCAAATACTGATCCCACAGACCTGCCAAGGTTCCTTAACTTTGAGATGAGTTAACTTTGAATCCCAGTGACTATGTGAAAAATTTGGAGAAGAAAAACATTAAGAAGTACCTTCTTTAAGTAGTCATCAAAAAAGAGCCTTCCTTCAAAATATATAATGCCCTTGATTGTTTCTATAATATGGGTGACCTCAAACAAGCTATGTAACATCTCAGAGCCTCAATTTATTATCCACAAAATATAAATGACAATATCCTCAATGTAATTTTTACATTCAATCAATACAAGTGTAGTGTACCTTCAGCTAAAATTGTTGTTCCTGCCGAGTCAGTTCCAACTCATAACAACACTATATAGGGTTTCAGAGGAGTAACTGGTAGGTTTGCTTGCATTTAGCAATCCAGTGATTATCCTACACCAAGACTTCAAAATTTTAAATTATAGTACCTACTAAAATATGTATATGCAAAATTGCTCTCCAGAATCTCACTGTGTAGAAGGGGATCGACAAACAAATAAATAAATATAATTATTATGGTACAGATACTAAAACATATGTGTGAACATGGTAAGA